AAARSMTTTTCAAGCATGTAAAACCCACAATCTCTTTTTTTCCTTAATTGCATTGCTTCAAGTAGTTAATGTGATGTAAAACATATTGCATTCTTGATTCTATGAGTCGCCTTTGTAGCACGCCCCTCGAGGCAAGCCCAAACAAGTCTACGTTAGGGTCTGAAATTTTTATTTCTCACATAAAAAATAATGATTTTACAACTTTCATTGCCTTTTAACAAGATATTTTATTGCAATGAATGAATGAACAACATAAGCAAATAGGGAGTTCTTGGAGCTCTAGTAACATAGACTTGTTCGGACTTGCCTTGAGGGGCGTGGTCGGGGGTCCGGGGGCAGAGCCCCCGGCCCAGCCGTTAGACTCAAGAAAAAGCAAAAAGCGCAAAATTTTAAAAAGGTGCACACCTGGGCTGAGGCGCAAGGCGCACCAGGCACGCACCTTTTGAAAGAGGTGCGCCTAGGACTTGGGCAAGGCACATACCCCAAAATGTGCCTCGCCTGTGCGCCTAGGCGCGCCTTTTAAATCACTGTAAAAAACAAGGCCCTCCCTTTTTGACATCAGATAAACTAAGTATGAGTTCCATACTTCTGAAGTAATGTTAATTTTTCTTGATAGTGTTGATTCCTTCAAAAAGCTATTAGGTGTTCATTCAGAATAACACCCACTAGGTGTTGATTTCTATGTCATTTTATCTCTTTTTTTTATGCAATCAATCCTGCATTAATTTTTTCATTAATAACAATTATTTAAGCAAAGGTTTTTGGAAATGAAACCCTCAACTCAAACTCTAAACTAAATAGGGCTCAAGCAGTCGAATCAAGTTCACGGTTATACACAATAACATATCAAACAAGTTCCAAGCTCAACCTAATGTTGGTCACATCATCCTATGTGTGGCTCAATGAAGGAACAGAGTTTGCACATAACATATATCAGAACAAATATACATCAATCCATCAATCCATGCAATCGGTTCAATTGATTTGGGGCAACATGAGTAGAAAAGTATAAGAATGCAGAAAACTACAAACTTAGAGAATTCAGATGGAATCAGATTCAGGCAATTCTGTATTTTTATTACATGATCTTCCATTCTGTGAAAGATTTTTGCGAGTATATGAATGCAAAGAAAAAAGTTACATTTTTTTCCTCAATAGTTGTAGACCTGGACGCAAATTATGGACGGCCAAATACTTTACCTTTTTCTCAAAAAAAAAGATATCTATTATTAATGTAATGTGGCAAACAAAACATACTGACACCGAGCATAAATAGTATAGATAGGATAGGATTAACACATTAATTAAATCATTAATGATCACAAAATTGATTTCTGCATGTGAAAGACAATATTTTCATATCATATTTACCTGTGTACCCCAATCGCCAACATGGTTCCGCCGCAGAACTTCAACATTCGAATATTCCAGCATGCGAGCTAGAGTATCTCCAATAATGGTTGATCTCAAGTGGCCGACATGCATTTCTTTTGCAATATTGGGTGAAGAGAAGTCAACCACAGCCCTTTTGACCCGGAGCCTTGGTGCCCATGTTTCAATACCCTCTATAAGCATCTTTTGTATACTCTGGAAATAACAATATCAAAATATTAGGACAACAAGTAACAAATGAATCCCACGCATGAAAAGTTAACAATGTGTCAAACCTTAGCTATCCATTTGGTTGACAAAACAACATTGACAAATCCAGGTCCTGCAACAGAACAAGACTCTATCATTTTAGTTGGAGGAAGGTTCTTCATAATGGCCTGCAAATCAAACAGTGCATCCTTAGTCATATAATGTGACCAGATTATTTTATTGGTTATCTCAATGTAATCAAATGATGATTTAACAATAAAACATTGTTACCAAAATCAAGTTTTTGCGTTCCACAAAAGGGCAAAAAATAAAGCAGTGGGAGATATCAATCTCAGTACCTGTCCAATAGCAGGAGGGCCCCTGAATTGAGTCGTCTTGCCTTTAATCCTTGAATATAAGCTCATAGCATTATTACTACATTAAAAGGAAAAAATAGAAATGTTTATTCCCGCTTAGCACTCGGAAAAACAAACAAATACATTAAAACCCAACTCAGGAGTATCTGAAGAAAAAATGATAAAACTGAAAATGCAGAACTGTTTAAATGAACTAAACATGGAGTCCAAATTCCAAAATCAACTTTGCATGTCTTCCTCTGGGTGAACCCATACCATTGATAATCACCAAACTTTCCAGTGCAAGGAACAACCAAAGGTTCTACATCCAATTCATCGGGGACCGTTGTTCTAAGCGATGCTTCAAATAGCTTCGATAGCTGTTGCTTGACATGACCCACAATTTCTTGGTCCTGTTCCATAATGGCAGGCAATAAGACTGTAACTAACATATTTCGCACATAAAGGAAGCACGAATCAATGTGGAATGGAAGTTCCGTGCAAATGGGTTTGTCAAGTTATTAGTTTTATGAATACAAGTTCATGCTGATATGTTCATCCAACCAGCTGGAACTGGAATGCACTTACCATGGTTGACACTGACACTGATGCCGTAATTGTTGTGGAAACAAGCCTTCGAGGTCTTAATCTTGAAAAATCTGTCTAATTCCACAATACCCACATCAAATTACGTTAAATATAACTCAAATTCGCATAAAAATTAGATCTTTTGGGAAGAAAATAAAAGGCACGAATATCAATAACGCAAGTCATTCATTAGAAAACAAATTTTGCCTCTTTACTACCAAAAAACACTACAAACCAAAACCAAGATGAGAGGCGAGCAGACAGAAACGTTGTCACAAGTGGAGATGCAAACAAAACCAAAGGCAGAGCCGAGCTCATAACAACAATAACAACTAGAGAGAGAGAAAGAGAGAGTACCGGTTTTAAGAAGAACCGGGTGTGAATGCAAGTGAGAGAGGCGATTAAAGGAGACCAACGGAGGAGATGAAGAAGTCGCAGGTAGTAAATGTAATACCCTCGTCATGTCTTATTTATTCCAGCCCCTCCCCACTCTCACTTACCACAAAGAAATTGTTTCCCTCCTCTTCTCTGCTGCTCTCGCTCACAGCCTGGGAAGTAAAGCCCTTCAGAACCACCGGATGGGAATCGTTTTTGGGAGGATGATGGAATGAAACATTGGATGGGAACCGGGTCGGGGTCACTACGGGCTGAGGTGATTCTATTTCTACCCCAAAGATGCTCATCTCCCCCAAACTACCTCGCGTTTCCTCGAACTCGAACCCTAACCCGCCCCCACCGAAAATATTGAAATACACGATTAGGGCTCCGAACGGATCGGACCAAATAGAATTCTAATCCGACGGATTTAAATGTTTGTATTTTGTATTCGGTTCAATTAAATAATGGGATCTATATATATATATATGGAAAAATCTATTATGCGGAAAAGATATGATGTGGGAAGAGTTTTGACCAATCAAAACGTACCCCTTAATTTTGATAAATAACACACCTGATTGGCTACCACATTTATTATTCCAGTTGACTGGTTAGAAGTAGAGCTTGCCATGTCAATAATTTTCTCTTTGCTCCGTTAACCAAATCAAGCAATTCTTGAGGTAAGGCTGCAAGTTGGGTTGGATTAGGTTGTGTTGAGGCCAATCCTAAGTTTTAAACCTCCAACCCTAACCTTAACCCAACTTGACCTTCAGCTCGATTTACCCAACCCTAACCCCAATAACATTCCTTCAACCCTAACTCAACCTAAAGTCAACTTCGGGTTGGGCCCAACATTCTTCCCATTCCTTAAAATCTTGTAGAAATTATTAATGTTAGATCTTAACTCAACTTCATTACATATATTAATCCTATATTTTATTAGTATTTGTTTATTGATGTTTTTATTGGTTCCTTAAGTACAAAATTCAAGAAAAAAATGTTTGAAATGACTATAATTTATTATGATGACTTATAATAGATCTTCTATGGGCAGCAAGCCTTGGGTGGCAAACAACAATGAGGAGATAAAGAATAAAATATTAGGCAACCCTAACCCAACCCGAAGTAAAGTTGAGTTCGTAAATTTCAACCCTAACCATGAACTCAAGCATCAACCCGACCCAACCCAACTCGACTTTTTTTCAGGCTGGGTTCGGGCTAACCCAACCCAAGTTGCAGCCTTATCTAGAGGGGATGCAAAATTCTCTATAGAAGCATTAGGAGTTGCCAACTAATATAGCTTATCTCCCTTTTATTAGTAAACTAACTATCCCCCACTTTCTCGTAAATTATTTATATCTTTCACTAATTCCTATTTATCTCTTAAATTATCTCTAATTCATATTTATCCTCTCCCCCACCTTTCATCTATACCTATCTAAAGAATTTTCAACCGAAACATTTAACAATTATTTAAATATTATAATAAAATCATATTATTAATGATTTTATATATTTTTATGAGACTCATAATGAAATTATGTAATAACAATATAAATTATAATTTTATGGAGTATTCAATTTAATAACTAAATAATATTTTAAAAACATAAATAGAAATATTTAAATAACAAAATATTAAAATAACTAAATAATTATGTAACAAAATAATTAAAATTACATAATAACATTAAACTTTAAAGAAATAAAATTTACATAACAAACAATATTAAATATTTTATATATTATTTAAATATTTAACATAACTAAATTTTAAATAGTTAAAAATAACAAATTTATGTAATAAATTTACAAAAATCTTAAGAGTAGAATAATAATTATAATAGATTTCATAACTTTTGAATTAATAATAATTTTATACTTTACAAAATTAATAACGAAATTATGTAATAATAGTGTAAATTATATTTTTATGGATTATTAAATTTAATAAATAATTAATATTTTAAATTTTTAAATAATGGAATTATTTAAATAATATTAATAACTAAATCATATATTATATATTATTTCAAAAACAAAAAATAGATTAAATAACAAAATTATGCTATAACTGTAAAAAAAATATCAAGAGCACAAAAGTAAATATAACTAGCGAGGCCCCATGTGATGCACGAGATGTGGCACCCCTCATTGTCCCTTGCCCCATAGTCAATACACTCTACCCCATCCCCGCCTTGTCCTTGGTGGTAAGGCAAGTTGGAGATGAGGCACCAATTCCTCGTCGAGGATGGGGAATCTCCAGGTTTCCCCCACCCTAATAAAACCACCTTAAAATAATCTAATTTGTGGATATTTTACAAATAAAACTATAGGAATTTGGGGTATTTTATGAATTAGATTATGACAATTTGGAGGTACTTTATAAATAGAATTGTGGAATCCTAGGACTAAAAGAATATAAGGAAAAACTTAAAGATATTTTAAAAGTCAAAATTAAATCTATTGATATTTTACTAATTTACCATCGGGTGTGGGAAATTATATGCAAACCCTGTCCCTTCCCCATCCCTAATTTGGAGCAAAAATATTTTCCCATCCCTACCCTGTCTCTTCCCTATCCCTATTTAAGATTCGAGAAAACTTGCCCTATTCAGGGGGGGCATGGTATTATTTATGCTTTATATACTATTTTTAAATAAATTATAAATATTTTCAATATACAAAAATGAATACTAAATCATATTTTAAACATTAATTAAAAACAAAAAATAGATTAAATAACAAAATCTTGTAATAACTTTAATAAGAATATAAAATATAAATAAATGAAAAAATAAATATTATTGGAATAGTGGAAGTATATTAAATAACTTAGAGGTATTAAAGCTTTTTATTAGTTATTTCTTGTATTTTTGTTATGAATATATTTTTAGCAATTGTGTATTTTTGCTATAAATTTTCAATAATTATTGGATATTAAACTATTGTTATTTGTTAGAGATTAAACTATTAATTTAGCTGAAATTAGGAGTGTTCAATAGGCAATTCAATTTGGTTGGAGATTTTTTGGCTAGCCAAACTGATCTGGTTGAGTTAGGGAGTTGGTCACTTGAAAGTTGAAACCGACCAACCATTAGTGAAAACTAACCATTGGTTAATTAATAAATGTTCAAAATTTCCAATTTTTAACGTTTAGCATAACCTACATTAATCATTGTAATTTAATAAATTTTTATGACAATTTTATTCATAAAAGATATTACTAATTAACATAATTTACTCATTTCTATAAAATCAATAATTATAGTTAACACTTATCAAATAATTTAGGGAAACTCTTTAACTAATAATACATAATTTTTTAAATAAATAATAATTAAAAATTAGGAAATTAATCTATGAAAAAATATTCTCTAAACTATTTAAATAATAATCCATTAATATTATTCAACTAAATAATTATTAAAAAATTTAGGAAAATTAAATTAGGAAATTAATATATCGGAAACTATTTCATATTTATTTAAATAACAATCCATTATTAATAAATAATTATGAAATAATTTAGGAAAATTATTAAATATATGCACACTAGTCTAGACCACTTGGTTGACTCCAACCACTCTTGGTTTTACATTAATTAACAATAAATGTTTTACTTTTCATTAAAATTAATGTAATTTACCATAATTACATTAATTTACTATAATTACATCAATAATTTAGGCTTAAAAGGTAAATAATTTATATTTTTGGAAACTATCATAAAATATTGTAATTTATCGTTATTTAATTTACTATTAGTTAATTAGTTATAGAGAATTATTATAATAGTAGGGATGGTAATTTTTCTTGCAAAGCTAGGGCCCTACCTTGCCCGACCGATCCCGAATGGAGCAAATTTTCTCAAATTTTAAATTGGGATGGTGAAGAGACAGGGCGGGGACGGGGAAAATATTTTTATTCTCCAAATCAGGGATGGGGTTTGCATCTAATGGTAAACTAGTAAAATATCAGTAGATTTAATATTGATTTTAAAAACATATATAAGTTCTTCTCATATTTTTATAATCCTATGATCCCACAATTCCATTTATAAAATACTCCAGATTTGTTGTAATCCAATTCCTAAAATACCCCCAAAATCCCATAATCCTATTTGTAAAATATCCACAAATTAGATTAGTTTTAAGTTGTTGCATCGGGTGGGGAAAATTTGGGAATTCCCCATCCTTGACAGGAAATGAGTGCCTCACCTCAAACCCACCCCACCACCAGGGACGGGGCGGGGATGGGGTAGAGTGTCTTAACTATTGGGGGGCAAGGGACTGGGAGGAGTGCCCCATCCCATGCATCGCATGGGGTCCCACTAGTATTCTTTTCAAATCTAATTTGATTTGATTATGAAAATTTGCAGTGACATTAGGGTTTCAACAAGCAGGCGGTCTGCCAATGGTTTGCTATTTTTAATTTATATTTTTTCTAATTTTTTATTTGTAAAAAGTATTAAAAACTGTGATTTGAGGAAGAAACCCAGTGACCATATCAAATAGGTCAACAGTTGAATCAATTATATTAGATAATTTTTTACTAAGTCAACAGCTTTTTGTAAAAATTAGATTTGAGGAAGACTGAACTTGCAAGACGATTCAAACAATTCGACCATCTAGGTCAATGGCGAGTTAAATACACTTTAGCAGTTTTTTTTTTTTTGCTAGATAAACGATCAAAATTATAATTCCAAAATATCAACAAAATTTAGAACTTCTAGGACCCCTGGGGTAATTAGAAAGATAAAAACATGCTTGGGGTAATGTTTTAGCCTTCTCGGCTATCACATGAGCTAAAGTATTAAACGTCCTATTTTCATAACAACAAGAGCAAGAATTAAAAAGAAACAAGCCCTCTGGTCTTAGACGAAAGCCAAAGGGAGAGAAGCCTTTGATTGCAGCGCTTGCACCACATTGACTGAATACAAACACACCAAAATACGACTATGGGAGAATTGAGAAGCATACAAGACTTCCTGCAAAATAGCATTAAACTCAGCATCTTCCACGGATCTCAAGTTCTTTGAAATTCCCCCTACAATGCCAACTTTTGCAAAGGTGGGATAGGATATTCACGCATGTGGACTAGTATGTACGTATACGGTTTTATCATATCAATGGATCTCTAGCTTTATATATATATATATATATATATATATATATATAAAGGGAGTATTTGAATTGAATTTGATACGAAGAGCTTGTACAGGATCACAAAGTGATTACCTCGATTAAAGGGTCATTAGTTTGCTCAATGTTCAAAATTATTGATACAATCCAATACGTTGGTAGGGGC